CTCCTTAACAGAGGTGGGCCTCTCCAAAATGTCACCCCCTGACTCCACAGCCAGACCCTGACAAGGGCTGGAGGATTTCCAGGTGCTGCACAGGCTCCAGACTGTGGGGTGGTGGGAACTCATGCTCACAAACATGGGGTGAAGCCAAGAAGTTTCAAAGTATCATGCCAGGGAGTGGGTCTGGGGCTCACATTTGGTCTGGGGCCACCTTTGCTGATTTCGGGATGAACTGACATCCAGGGAGCAGCTCTCGATCAAGGGGATCCCAGAGCTCTGTGGTATTGCTATAAATCTCCTTTATAAATCTCCTGCTTATAAATCTGGGCTAATTTATAAATTATATAAATCTATATAATATAAAGAATAGTAAGCTGGCAGCTTACTGGTGGGCAGATTTGGGGGTCAGCCACCCATCAAAGCTTTAGCACTGATCTGATCAATCCTTCTCTCTCTGAAGGTATCCAAAACCCGTCTGGACAAGTTTCAGTGTCACCTGCTTTAGGTGACCCTGACTTCGAAGGGCGGTTGGATGATGTCCAAGCTGTTGAACCTTACCAATTCTGTGATTATGCCCTCAGTGACTCAGCTGCCCCAGGACAGAGCGCAGATGGAGATGAGTGCTGGGAATTCTGGTTCCCAAGACCTGACTGTGCATCCCAAGGCCACACGTAGCATATCCCTGTGCTTCCCCATGAACTGCAGCTCCATCGGGGCAGGACACGGCCGCCCTTCACCAGCACAGTCAGGACCCTCTCGGAAACATCAGTGCTTGGCGAGGGCTGCGCAGGCGGCTGTGAATGGAAGTTCTCCCTCTGCCAGCAGCCGGCTGGAGGCAGCGACAGCGCTCAGCAGCAGCTCCCGGGGGATGCGCTGCCCTCGCACAGTGTGAGAGTGCCATCTACAGGGGGTCCAGCCTGGCCCCCCAAAACACCCGTCCTCTCACCACGGGTAACTCTGTCCAGCCCCCGAGGCCGCATGAGGGGCACAGCCTCGGTTTATCCATTAAACCCCATTATCGGGGTCAGCGCTGCTCCGCACAGCCCTGGACAGCAGTCACACTCACAGAATGCTGCAAGGGGCCTGCAAAGCCCATCTTGTTCCAACCCCCTGCCACAGGCAGGGACACTTTCCACTACCCCAGGGTGTTCCAAGCCTCGTCCAACCTGGCCATGAACACTCCCAGGGATCCAGGGGCAGCCACAGCTTCTCTCGGCACCCTGCGCCAGTGCTGTCACCACCCTCACAGGGAAGAATTTCTTTCCAATACCCCATCTAACCCTGCCCTCAGTCAGCATGAAGCCGTTTCCCCTTGCTCTGTCACTCCAGGTCCTTGTCCAAAGGCTCCCTCCATCCCTCTTCGCGCCCCTTTAGGCACGGGAAGGGGCTTTAAAGGTCTCCCTGTAGCCTTCTCTTCTCCAGCCTGAACCCCGCAGCTCTCAGCCTGTCTTTACTGCAGAGGTGCTCATTATCTCCGTGGCCTCCTCCGGACCCGCTGCAGCATTTTGGGGCAGGGCTGTTCCTGCCCCCGCGGTCGGGGGCCGGGGGTCCCTCAGCCCCGGC